ATACTACCCAATGAGGTGACTGGCTAGTAACCGCTGCCACATAACTTAACCTAACCACCCGAGTAAACAGTGAGAACATATCTTAGTAAATTAACTTTGTTTATATCAGCATAATGACTAGGATCTCTCTCTTCTTATACATCCAGTGAGAGGAAAAGTTACCACTACTACCACCAATTCCAAGCTTACTCAATTTAACCCCCCGATCATCTACCTGTATTGTTTTGATTAAAACTTCAGGTATATAATTGAGTAGCAGTTAGTGATGTGTCAGTTGTTGTTGTTGTTGTTGTGTGTTGTGTCGTCCTCTACAAAACACAGATATATCATGACGGACTCGTAGGGCGTGACGTACGAGTCGAAATATGACAACAGGTTGGCAAGTGGGTAGAAGGTGTCCATATTTTAGGTGAAGCATTACCCTGAAGATTACTCTGACCTCTAAATACACCCTGGCGGAGGTGACGGCGATGTACGAGGCGGAGTAGGCAGGCAGGGTAAGGCTCTATAGTGGAGTAACAGGCGAGCTACGGGCAGTCCCACACCTGCAGGAACCTTCACGTCGAGGAGAATGAGAAAAGCTGCGCCTGTTTGTGGGTTGACGTGAAGGACCGGTTCATCACCCAGTACACTCTCTTTAACCTGGGTGTGTGCCTCTTCCACCCCATCATGGTCATAGTCACCGTTGTGGTGGTGTATCTGACGGTGGAGAACATAGTGACGGGGATGGTGAAGCAGTTCTTGTCGATGCTTCATATCGGGAGCATGGACGAGGAAGCCATGTGGCAGGAGTTGAGACAACACTTCCGGGAGAATATTCCAGGGATGGAGCATAGTGATCAGCCCGGTGCTCGCTGGTTCGCTAATCACATGGAGGAGATCAGCCTCAACAAACTCCGCGACTTCTATCGGCAAATCCAAATGTCTAGATTTGGCAAAACCGATTCTTCCCTGAGTTTATCGGCAACCCATCACGATGTTATAGTCCAAGGGTTCCAGTGTCCATGGGGGGTATACAGTACTTGTCTGTCCTTGTCCTTACTGAGAGACCCGACCCTGTTTCTATCTTGTACTGTACAAACACATTCTCATTACACTATATAAACCATTACGTTTTGTCCTACTTTAAGGTTAGGTCAGGTCAGGTCAGGTCAGGTCATATTTCAGGCAGACTGTGATATATATTTTTCCTTCTATACAGACTGTTGTGACCCGTACTAATGACTGTTATTAACCTTTGTCCTTGATAACCTAACTTAACCCCAAGTTCTCTCCATTGTAACCCCATTATAGGCTGTAAGAACATAAGAATGGAGGAAACTGCAGCGGGCCTATTGGCCCATACGAGGAAGGAAGGAAGGAAGGGGGTTAAATGGGAGGGAGGGAGAGAGAAAGAGTGAAGTGAGGTGAAGGGTTTGTGGTGATTGTGGTTGGTGATGCTAGTGGTTGTGCATGGTAGTGGTTGTGGTGATAGAAGGTAATAGTGGTGGTTGATGTTATTGATAGTGATGATCATGGTGGGTGGATTAGGTGGGTGGGTGGGTGGGTGTGGAATGCAGGTTGGTCATGCTGAGTTAAGCTCTGTCATGACCCACCCTACTCACACTGCCGGATGGTGTGAGCTGATGTTGGATAAGGAGGTGGTAGTGGGGGTTAGTTGTTTGGGTGGAGTAGGGGAGTAAGTATGTGGGTGTGTGGGGGGAGTAGGGGAGTAAGTATGTGGGTGATGGAGGTGTGGGGGAGGTAGAGTGTGTGGGGGGCAGGATATTTTGTCGAGTTTCACCTAACCTAACTCGCGCGTATATGTAGTTCCCCCTCTTTACGGCCCAGAATCACAAACAACGTTGTGTAGGAGTCCCTGGGAACCCCTTTATACAAGATATCCAAATTAAAGGTCGACCATTCAGGAGCTGACCCCCACCTAAAATAATTATAGTAGGGGTGATTGGGGAGGGTCGTAGAGGTCAGCAATTTGGCAGAATCCACGTATACGGGCTGACGTGCGCTAGTTAGTAGTTTTTTTTTTTTTAAAGATTACGTCAGCAGGTGACCTATGCGTCTAGTACCTCACCTACCATACCTGATACACCTTGAATCAGCCTAACCTAACAACACACAAAGACAGTGGTGGCGTCATTGGGCAGGTTATTTTAATAGTGATCGTGATGGAGACGGTCATGGCCTAAAAAACACGATACTGGCTGCCAACTTTTTTTTCACATGTCTTCTTGAATTAATAGACAGACGGACGGACGGACAGATAGATAGATAGATATATAGACAGACAGACAGACAGATAGATGACAGACAGACAGATGGATAGATAGATAGATAATGAATTACACTGAAAACGGGAGAGGAAGCAATTTCAGAAAACGGGGCTTGAGGAGAGGAACTCAACTAAAATACAGAGGCTGGCGGGCTGTGGTGGGTGGATGGGTTGAGTGGGGTGGAATGGCAGGTTGGTGGGTGGGTGGGTTGGCAGGTGAGGTGGGTTGGG